TTTTGCCAAACCATATCCATCAGCTTTTTTTTTTTTTTTTTTTTTTTTTCTGTACCAAGGATCAAACTTTTAAGGCCTCACAGATGCTAGGAAAGTGCTTAACCATGGTGCTATACCCTCATCCCCAGCTTTAAAGAAAAACATATAAAGTAAAAATAATATTTTACATATTTCTTAACACACATTTCCAATCCCAGAACTCAGGAAGCCAAGGCAGGAAGATCATAAGAAATTCAAGGCCAGCCTGGGTTACATAGTGAGCCTAAGGTCAGCATGAACTACATAGTTAGGTCCTGTCTCAGTCCCCTTCCACTCCCGAAAAGCATCAATCTTATGGTTAAAGCATTTCAAAACTAGAAAACTGCCACCGTTTTCCAAGAAAGTGTTACTAGTGGGCAGTTTGTCTTTAGGCCCCAGTAATTTTCATTTTTGGTCTTTGGGGAATTCTTGCTAAGAGTGGCTCTCATTCTGCATGTCAGGGCCAATAACTTTTGGCCAAAGGCCACCACAATCATTTTCTATCCTGTCATGTTTTTCTCAATCAGCCTAAGTGAATTGCTTTCTTTGGTGTTGGGCATTGAACCCAGGGCCTCATGCACACTAGTCAAGTGCTCTACAGCTGAACAGTATCCTCTGTCCTTATCTTGGTAAAGGACAAAATTAGAAGAATTTCACCTATGTCCTGTACCCTTCCCCCAATACACCACAGAATAAGAAGGGACTTTCTCCAGTCCATTACTTATAAAAGAGACAGTAAATTTTCAGAAGCTTGGGGCATGAAGGGGAGCTGTGTGGCTATCTCAGTTTTTCAAGTATTTGCCAGGAAGTAAAACGGCACTTCTTCCTGTCCAGAGTGAGTTTGGAGCCAGTGAACGTGAGTAAATGAACATGCCAATATTGATTCGTGTCGCTGCTTTGGTAGATTTGCTCCTGGAAGCATTTTTTCTTGTCTGAAAGAATTTGGAGATGACACTGTTTATTTTTGTACTTTCCACCAGGTTCAAGGCTGGCATCGAAAAGCTACGTCCTGTGGCTTTTTGTTGGTCCCCGTTTTGGAGGGTCCCTTTGCTTTGCCCAGTTATCTTTATGGTGATCCCCTTCGAGCCCAGCTCTTCATTCCGCTCAACATCAGCTGCTTGATCAAGGAAGGCAGTGAGCATCTGTTTGACAGTAAGAGATACTCCTTTCCGGAAGTTCTGTGTCAGTGAGTAAGACCCCAGGTACCTCTCTGGGTATCAGATCAACTCAGGCTACTTAAAAGAGAGAGGCTTTCTCTGAGGGGCCAAAGTGATCTGGGTTTCCATCCTAGTTCTTCCCTTAGTGGCTCAGTCTCAGATTCCTTATTACTAAAATGAGACTGGCTAGATCTGCCTTCCCACCTTTGAGGACCGCCATAAGGCCTGGAGCAGTAGGTAGAAGAGGATGCTATGCACCGTAAGTCCCTAATAGCACTGCTGTTCTCCTGTGCCTTTTATGTGCATCAGCCTAACTGGTCTATAGGGTACAGGGATTTGAACCTCATGGGAGGCTTGCATATGCTTTTCTTTGCAAAAAGACGTAAGAACAGCGCACTCAAAGCAAAAAAAAAAAAAAAAAAAACCCAGTATCCTATAGTGTAAAGTTGTAATCTGTCAGCTCCTGGAACCCTGTATATGGCTTGGATCCTACATATAAAGGATGACAAAGCAAAGCTGGAGGAAGCTCAGAGGAGGACAGCAAAACACAGGTCAGAACACGGCTGCCAATCGAAACGAGGGCTCACAGGGTCTACCCGCCCTGCCACTCAATCCTGTTCCACCAAGTTTAGGACAGAAAAGAAGGATGAGCTCCACTTTACACAGTACATCGCTTTACATCGTGCATACGCTTTTTAGTGTGTGTGTGTGTGTGTGTGTGTGTGTGTGTGTGTGTGTGTGTGAGAGAGAGAGAGAGAGAGAGACAGACAGAGAGAGAGATGGTATCTCCTAAAGTTTTCCATGAATTCACAGATGCTTTTTAAAATCAAAGACTAGAATTGATGCCAATTTGTAAGGAGCCTTTTGACATAAAGATTATAAATGTGAAAGAAACAACTTTTGATGTAAGGGAGATATTTTCTTTCCATGCTCTTCTGTGTGTGTGTCGTGGTGGGCAGCAGAGGGTGAGATGGCCAACTTCGGTTTTCATGTGACAGGCTGCCCTACTTGTGCAAATAGCTTCTTTTTCCAGCGGCTCATCTGTGTATTTGTTTAAAATTTAGAAGACATTTTTGTAGAGACGCAGTGTTCCAGGGGATGGTTGGGGTTCCAGGTAAGCCTCACAAAGTCCCTTCCTGGCCATAGACTCCAAGATTTTTAAAAATTAATTTTATTGGTACATTTTAGTTATAATATGTTGACATTTATTATTGGGAGTTTGTACCTTTACATGATGTATCTTGGTTCTTATTTTTTCCTCATTCCCCTGCCCTCCCTTCAACACCTCCACCCCTCATTTACAAAGACATTTCATTTTTTCCTTTTCTCGTACTTATTCCTTTCCCTTTCCTCCTTTCCCCTGCCCCTCCCACTTCCCCTTTCCCTTTGCCCCTTTTCTTGTTTCACATTATCTATTACCCATTTCGATCCTTGTTTACACTTTCAGTTTCTCACACCAGAGAGACTATTTGGCATTTGTACGTGTGTGACCTATTTGATAATAAAGATTTTGAAAAGTCTTTTTGCACACATTCTTCAACCTCACAGCGTGGCTGAGAGAGGACCATTTATGCTGGATGATTGAGTATCTAGCAGACAATTTTAGACCAGGCAGCTCCCTGTAGTGTTATTAATAAGTTGCAGGACAGTGATCCTTCTTCACATCATCTCCAAGACTCTGGAGCTTTCCACCCTCCCTGTAACTGCATAGCTCAGAGGGACGGCATTAGAGGACATTTTTGTGCAAGTTGATAGTTTCCCCTGCAAGTTATTATCCAGTCTTCAAGACCAGCATCCTCTGTCGGTTGCCATGGTTACAGCTAAAGAAAGGAGTCCTAGTTTAAAGGAGTAAGGACTTGAGTCTAAAAATCGATTTATTGCTGCTTCCTGGAACAGTGAATTCAGAATCTTCAAATCTGAGAAGATGCTGTGTGCGCGCGCATGTGAGTGTGTGTTTTCATACTAAAGCCAAAGCCCTTTTTTCATTTTTGCTCTTTCTTGTCCAGAACCCTGAAATCTGTCTTAGCTAGAAAATTCCAAATATGAGAAGAGTTACGGAGCCACTTCAGGCGCTTCGAGCCTTTGGGATATCTGTGCAGTTGCTGCCCCAGCCCTCAACAACTCCATCCCAGGAGCAGTTTGGGCTCTGCTGCCTGTTGCTGTGTGACAGCCTGCTGAGCTCTCCCACCTCCTCACTCAGCATTTGGTTTCCAGAGCATCCCTGTAGGAGCAGTACCGTGGCTGATGGGGGAGGAGATGCCTGTGCTTTGCTCCCTCCCCAGCTGATCACTTGTCGAAAAATGTATTTTTATATTTACTTGCTTCAATTTTCCTACCCCTAAAAAGAAGCTTATAATATTGCCTTTCTTTATGGGGAAATGGAGAATTGGGAATACAAAACTATACATGGTGTTTTTATGGTTCCTTAGAAGGACCTAACGTGCATTTAAGGTTTATCTTATCTTTGTACTTTAATGTGCTCCTCTCAGTTTTTGGGTTCTGGTAGCTCACACTGCCTGCCTGCTAAGGACTTACCACCTTTGGTGCCTTAGGGAAAGGGATGATATGAACCTATAATTGTCCTTTCTTTAACCTTGGGTTGGAAACTGATCTGGCCCCAAGCAGTTAGTGTGGGAAAGCAGAGCTTAGGTTCAGTGGACAAAAGTCTCCAAGAGTAATGTAGGTTGTGGAAGCCCAGACAGAAGGGAAATTATAAATCAGCATTTGTTCTCTCTTCGTTTCAGGTTTTGAACCGGAAACGTATTGGGATCGAATGCATCTTTTCCAGGAAGCCATTGCACACAGGTTTGTCCCTTTGACAAAAGAGAATAATAGGAAGGAATCAGTATTTGTTTTCAATGTCAGTTACGAAAGTGAAACCCGGTTTGTTTTGTTCCTGGGGGAAAAAGATCTATTCCACAGGTTCACTCCTTACCTCCAACTGAACTCTTTGTTTTGGGTTCAGAGATAAACACTACCCAGTCAGTTCCTGTAGCTGTTGTTTTTCAGATCTTTTTCCCTTCATCCTGATGACAGAGCACTTAGAGCTATTTTGTTAGCCTCTAATAGGAGCCTGAGCCAAGCTATCCAGGAGATAGCATGAAATGAAAAAATTGTAGCTGGATGTGGTGATACACACCTGTAATCCCAATTACTTGGGAGGCTTAGGCAGGAAGATTGGAAATTCAAAGCCAGCCTGAACAGCTTGGCAACTGTCTCAAAATAAAAAGGGGGCAGGTGATGTAGTTCTACAGGAAGGCCTTGGGTTCAACCCACAAAAATAAAATTTAAAAAAGAAAGAAAAAGAAAAAATGTCACTACTCCCTTGATATGTGTTCAAAGACAATGAATGATTAAAAAGCAATAGATGAGGGCCAGGGATTTAGCTCAGTGGTGCTGCCACCTGCCTCGCAAGCACAAGGTCCTGAGTTCCATGCCTGGTACCAAAAAAAAAAAAAGCAATAGATGAGCTGGGTACAGTAGTGTACACTTGTAATTTCAGGTATTCAGGAGGCTGAAACGGATCACAAGTTTAAGTCTGCCCTGTCTCAAAATTTAAAACAAATATAAAGGGCTGTGGATGTGGCTCAGTAGTAGAGTGCTTGCCTATTGATATGTGAGACTATGAGTTCAATCTCCAGAACCACAAAAAAAAAACAATAAATAAAAGCAATAGATATCTGTAGATATTTCTTGGCATCTAATGCATATGCCAGGGAAAGCCTTCCCTAGGCTTAGCTGTTTCCTCCTGGACCAGTCCAGCAAATTGCCTTGTCTGTCATCATTAAGTCGTGGTCTGATTACTACTTTGTTCATCATTTTGAAAACAGAACCTCCGGATCTTGCTCCAGTAACCTTGCTGCACCTCGTCAGTGTCATGTTATCTCCCCCCTACATACATTCACAGCCAACAGGATGAAGTCCAAGCTCTTTTAAGTGTCTCCCTGTTTACTTTGGCCCTTATCATAAGGTGTAGACCTAGCTCAGGGACTCAGTAGAGCCTGTGGAATGAATGCCAGGGCAACTGATACCCTCCTTTAAATGAGAAGAGGTGCAGATGTAGGGTGGGGCGGAAAGAGCACGGTGGTCAGTGGGAAACAGAAGGGCCTGGTCCATCCCCACCTCTACCAGTGTCTAGATGAGGAAATTCTATGGCAAGTCTTGGAACTACCAATACCAATCCTTTGTTTGCTCACACGCTTTGGGCTTACCTAATGAGGCTGTAGGAGAGTAGTCATTAGGAAAGCCCCAGCTCATTGCTGAGATTGTAAATAGCTTTTATACTGCTTGCCTTGTACCGGGCAATCATTTCATCTTACTGCCCACTGTATCACTTGGAATGTGACCTCTATCTGCCACTTAATCTTTTTTCTTTACAGTAGGCTCCTTCTGGTCCCCTTGAGCCCTGATTCTGGTCATATTTCCTCTAAACTATTACCTTTTCCTCTTTAGCCTGCCTTTCCAACCCCTAATTTTCTCAGGCATCTTCCACCAGTCCCCATGTATCACTGCACCCGACTCAGTTCTGTGTCACCTTCCCCCTTGTAATCTAAGCCCCTACCTCCTCTACTACTACCGGTGTCTTCTACCAGGATCCATACACCCCTCCACTCTTAATTTTCCTTTCCTTTTTTTTTTTTCAAGCAAGAAAGATTTATTGTAGCTCATCTCTTTCCTTGTCTTCCAAACACTCTGTCAGTCTATTACACTGATTCAAGGGGGCCTTAAAGTGCAAAGTTATACATTTTTCTCAGTTTTTCTTCTTCTACAGTGCCTAGCAAAGTGTCTTGCCCAGAGTAGTTGTTTTACTTTTGGCTTTTGCAAGATACAGAACTATCTTGGTCATTTTCTTATCTCGGACACCTAATACCCAGCATCCACAGCTTAAAGGATGAAAGGTTTATATTGGCTCACATTTTCAGAAATTTCAGTCCATATTGGCAGGCTCCGAGACAGAAACAGAGGGGCCTGGGTAGAGGAAAGCTGCTCATCTCATGAACATCGCACAACAGGAAGCAGAGAGTGAATGAAGTAAGGAGCCAGGGAAGCAGACACACCCTTTCAGGTCACACCCTCAGTGACTCACCTCTTTTGACCAGACCCCACGTACTAACAGTCAGTCACCTATGTCACCACCATGACTCAGTCCCCTTCCAAAAGTCCTGAGTGGATGTGAGAGCAATCTGGCTGTGACATCTGTTACCCCACTGATCTCCAGGGTCGATTCGGCTGGTCTGGCTGGCTAGGCAGGTGTCCCTTTCTCCCTCACTACTCCATGTGCATCTTGCCTACAGCTGTGTGCTTAGTCAAAGAGGACTGCAAGAACCTCTGAACAAGCTCCCAAAAGTCCTGTGAGCATAAAAGATCATTGGGAGACATTTTCAATCTAAACTGTAACAGTCTATCCCTGGCTGCCAAAAGACTCATCTATATCTTTTTGTGCAGAATGCATTTAGTTCATCTCTAAGTGTCATCAAAGTTATTTTGTTTTGTTTTGTTTCCTGGTACCGGGGACCGTGCAACGGAGCTAAATCCCCAGCTCTGTCATCGAGTTTTAACAGTTCCAGCACTGCTGAAAAATCTAAGAGTCTAAGTCCGAAGTCTTCTCTGAGACACAAGGCAAACTCTTAGCCATGAGCCCCTGTACATACTGCCAACATACAATGGCACACGGTAAACAAATGCATTCCAAAAAGGAGGAATAGGAAGATAAAAAGGAGTAGCACCAAAGCAAGACCAAAACCCAGCAGGGCAAACGTTAAATCCCATAGCTTTATGTCCATCACCTGGGGCAAATTGTGTTACTGTGATGAGATTTCCAAAGGGTTGCCCTACCTCTGTGACACTGCCAGTTGCAGGTTTAGTAACCTCTTTCTTGGGGTGGCTTTGTTCCCTACCTGTGGCTTTCTCAAATGTTCCATATTTCTGGCTTCTCCATCTTCCTGGGGTCTCTACTGTACTGTTAGCTTTATTCTTTCAACTTCATGCACTGCCCTCCTGGGAACATGACCTGGCCAACCAGGCCTTCTGAAATCTAAGTGGAAGCCTCCTTGACTCCATAAATCTTGCATTCTGCATGTCTGTAAAATCAGAACTATATAGATAGCACCAATGTCTGCTGCCTACTTGAGCAGTGGCTAGGCCTCCTTGAATTATAGCTGGAGAGGCCTCTTAGTGCCTTAATAGCTGAGCACTATGAAACAAATCCCACAGAACCAATTTCCAATTTATTAGGTGGACCTTCTTCAGCAGGATACCCTAGGGCTGTCTTTCTTAAAGCAAAATTTTTACTTTTGTACCCCCAAACCTGCAAAGGAGGGGCCTGACATGTTCTCAAACTATCTATCCTGTTGTCCTGATAGTCCTATTTTCGTAAAATACTTTGCTTTTTTATTTATTTTATTTATTTGTTTTGTTTTGTATTTGGGATTGAACCTAGGGCCTTCACACTGAGCTACAATTCCAATATTTTTGTTCTTATTTTGAGACAAAGTATGACTAGGTTGCTAAATTGCCCAGGCTGAGCTGGCACTTGCAACCTGCCTGCCTCAGCTTCTCAGAGTGTTGTAGGTAAATGTAGGTTGTTAAACATCCTTGGGATCTGGATGAAACAAAGAAAAACTAAAATAGGAAGCAAAAGCTGACATTACCTTGGGACAAAGGGTACTCTGAGTTGGCATCAGAACATCACACAAACCCAAGGGACAAATAAAGCTCACCGTGGCCATGTTGGTGGTTTGCTCTCACTGTGTCCAGGCCTGGAACTTGGGGACATTCTGCAAATCAACAACTCTGCAAAGAAATCCCAGCACTAGGGAGATCCACTGATCTAGTGATACTAATCACTTCATCTCATCTATAAAATGAAGACTGAAGCTGGGTGTCGTGGCACATGCCTGTAATGCCAGCACTCAGGAGGCTGAGACAGGAGGATCACTGTGAGTTCCAGACCAGCCTGGGCTACATAGTGAGTTCCAGGTCATTCTCAGCTACATAGTGAGACCCTGTCTCAAAAAAAGAAAAAAAAGACTTGATGGTTTTTGACATTCCTGCCTGCCCTAATATTCATTATAATCTCGCAAGTGAAATGTGCACTAGGAGGGAAAAAAAGATAAAATACCTTCAGTGAAAGGAATAACATGGGTACATGTTATTTAGGGGATATGCCAGGCCCTTTAAACATATAAACATTTATAGATAAGGAAAGCAGGGGGTGGGGGTGGGGATGGTTTGCACAAAATTTCTGAACAAATGACAAGCCAAAATCTGGAACTGTGAAGTGATGTGGGGAATAAGATTCACACAGACAGTGTTTTGTGAGGGTGGGTGGGAACGAGGGCCACGAAACTTGAAAACACCATACACAACCCACAACATCTCACCAGTGGGTGAGCTCCAGTGAGGCAGGACATGGAGGGACAGGGTGCAAGCCACGGTGGCCTAGTGCTCTCACCATGAATTTGGTCTCCGGGGTACCTGGAGACCCCAGGCACAGCCAGGCATTGCTGCTTCTTAATACTAAACCTTTTTAGCAACTAAGATATCTTCTGTTGAGCTCTCCACTCTTCCTCCTTTACAGGTGCTTTCTTTCTGACAAAGCTGAAAACTTTTTAAATGGGATTTGTGTTCCTGTTTTTCAGTATAAATCTCACTAAAAGCAGAAAATACTTCAATGCTACAGCTTGCCCATTGGGCTGCCTTAATTTGTCTGCACCAGATTAGTCTGCTGCCTGCAAAGTCTCATGAGCAAAATTTTCTTCAGGAGCGTAACACACACGGTCTAAAGTCCACCTGCCAGTGGAGTCCTTGTTTCCAGATGAAACCTTCTGAGCCTGGCCTTTACCATCTGCATTTCTACACCCATTCTGGTCTTATGAGCTCCAACTAGAATCTTTCATCATGTTTGGCATTTTACAACATTCTAGAGCTTCTCTATCTGGCACCTCCAAACTTTTCCAAAATCCTCCTGCAAACCAGTTCAGAAGGCTTTTAAACCACATGGTCCAGGTATATTCAAGGCAATGACCCCATTTCTGGCACCAAAATCTGTCTCATTCGCTTTCTAGTCTGTGAGACACAATACTCAACACCCACAGCTTAAAAGCAGAGCTCACAGTTTCAGAAGTTTCAGTTGATGGCCGGCAGACTCCAAGACAAAAATGTCACGGTGGAAGGGCCTGGGTGGAAGAAAGCTGCTTACATTGTAACAGCCAGTAATCAGAAGTGAGGAGCCAGGAAAGGAGATACACTTCTCCAGGTTGTGCCTTTAGTGACCCACCTCTTTGATCAGACCTCAACTCCAAACAGCAGAGTCAACTATATCATTTTCATGATTCATTCAACTTCCAAAATCCCTATCTATGAGTATAAGGTGTTTGGGAACCTTCTATTTTTGGTACCGGGAATCGAATTTAGGACCTTGGTTTGCAAGGCAAGCAGGAGAACCACTGTGCCAAATCCCTGGCCCACGGGAACCTTCTTGATCTAGACCATAACAGGAAATTTCAGTGGGAATGTGGCTCTGAAATGAAACATTAGCTCACCCATAGTCCTATATCAGAAAACACTAGAAAATCTCCACCCACCCTGGGTACCCTCTGCTCTAACTCCCAGCTCTTTCAACTTCTCTAGGTTGAGGTGAAATTAGTGGAACCCCCTACTTTCACTGTGATCCTGACTTGCATTTTCCCAATTGGCTGATGAGGTAGTCAGGGACCATGTGGTCAAATTGTTATTTATTTTATTTATGTTTGATACAGGGTCTCAAAAACCTAACCCTGTGTAGTTCAGGCTGGCCTTGAACTATGTTGCCCCAGATGGTCTCAAACTTACTTTGATCTTCCTGCCTTAGCCTCTCACATGCAGGGATTATAGGCTGCATCACCATGCCCAAAAAACTGCTTTTAAAAAATAAAGGTCTTTTTTTGTGATCTAAGGCGGAACTGAGGCAAGAATACCCTGGTTAGGCTGACCACGCTGAGTGAATCAGTACGATTGCAAAGTATAGAGAAAGTAGAGGAAAATCCAGGCTGTGTCCATGCATAGTAGAAGCAGTGTGGAGATGAGGGAGTTTGTGTGTTTGACTTTTGGTAAATTCTTACGTGATGCCAGTATACAGTCAGCAGTGTAGAGGATCTGACCTAGCTCCTCCCCAGGGTGGCTTCTTACCTCCTTTAGCACTGCCTACATCACTGCCTTCATTATATAAACGCCTCAGACTCCGGCCAGAGCCACATCTGTGAGCACGTCCTTTACAACTCTTAGCAGGTAGGACCATAATAAATGCACCTTATGGAAATAGAAAAACCAGGAATAGAACAGGCCATAGATGAGAAGTAGAACAGAACAAGTCACAGATGAAAAATGGTTTCTCCTGCCTATTTCCAGAGCAGAGCAAAGCCAAGAACCTCAAATTACTGTTCTTCGCTTTTAAAAGAATTTCAATTAAAATATTTCCATCCATTTTAATTTGAGGCCTTTACTGAGAGCCTTTCTACATGCTTAGCATAAGAACAGTGGGGAGTGGGGGTGAGGTGTGGCTGAGGTAAACTAAGATGAGGAATGTATGTAGATGAGCGCCTTACAGCTAGGACTGGAGGTGGATTCCAGCAAAAGGCAGAGTGAAGGTCAGGGGTGGTCTTGGCTGGGGACTCGGGAGCGCACAGGGGCGGGAGTGCCCCCACTACTGAAGATGCTGTGAGAGGGAGGGTGAGGCCGGGCAGAGATGAAGGCCGGATGAGACATGGGCAGATCCTAACCGTGGAGGGGAGAACTCCTGGGCCGCAGAAAGCTGGGGATCCACAATGTTGGAAGGAATGGAGGTTGGGACGTGGTGGAAATAAAAAATAAGCAGCATGCATGGTCCACCTGGAACAAGATTTTTCCAGGTCCCTTTATCTCAAGACATCAGAGAATCTTACTAGCCACACTCTCCCCTATTCCTTTAGCTAAAGGGGTCCTAACCAGTGTTTCTGTCCTTTCCTCAGGTTCGGGTTTGTACAAGATAAATATTCTGCCTCTGCTTTTAACTTCCCTGCTGAGAACAAGCCTCAGTACATCCACGTTACAGGTGAGGTGCTGGGGACAAAACCCTGGGTAGGTGGGCCCCTGTGGCAGATGCAGGAGCCCTAAAGGAGACAGGGCCTGTTCTTGAAGGTTCCATCCCCTGCTTTGAGCCGGAGGTAGTAGAACCACTTCAGCCAAAGTCTAGGTGCCCTCCTGCTGGCTGCCACACAGGCCCTGCCCTTCTCCTTCAGGGACAGTGTTTCTGCAGCTGCCCTACTCCAAGCGCAAGTTCTCGGGGCAGCAGCGACGGCGGCGGAACTCCACCAGCTCCACCAACCAGAACATGTTCTGCGAGGAGCGCGTTGGTTACAACTGGGCCTACAACACCATGCTGACCAAGACGTGGCGCTCCAGCGCCACGGGGGATGAAAAATTTGCTGACCGGCTACTGAAGGACTTCACAGACTTCTGCATCAACCGTGACAACCGGCTGGTCATGTTCTGGATGAGCTGTCTGGAGAAGATGCACTCCAGTGCCCCGTGAAGCTAGGCTGCCCTGGGCTTGGAAGGAGGTGCCCGTGCTGGGGGAAGAGGATCCGACGCCGACTGTCAGCATCAGGTGTCAGTGTGCCAGTGTCCGTGAGTGGGGCCGTAGCTTCTTTTTGGCCTTCCCCGAGTGTTCTATTCCAGGAGAAAGACTTTGGAAGCAGCTCCCGCTTCCACCACTGAGATCCTGTCAGCAAGTGCCCAGAGCAGGAGGGAGGCACAGATTGTCCGTGGGAGGGCGCTTCAGTGTCTGGAAAAGTGGGCAGGCAGCCCTCATGAATGTCCTTGGAGAGAGGGAGGCTCCTGTTAGTGTCCTTTTCCTCCACCATTCCTAGGATAATCTGAAGAGAATCTGCCGCTTCCTGCCCAGAAGTATGCACAGTGTGTAAGATAATTATGTGAAATAATGTACCATAGACTCACGCCGTCTGTATATACCTGTACATACATATCAGAAGCAAATAAAACTTCATGTGCAGCCTCTCTGTCCCAAGCCTTGTTCCCGACTGCAGCCGTACCATCCTTTGTGGGCGATCGTGCCCAGTGAGTGAGGTAGGCACAGATGGCGAGGACTTCAAGAAGACACTCGCTTGGGGCATCTGGCTGTGACTTAGCTAAGATAATTCTTTTTACAGACCATTGGGCATGGCAGGGATACTTCCGGTTGGGACTAGTAAGATGAGTAGGTAACTTTAGGCTTGTGCTGTTGGAGGTGAATCTTACTTAATGGGTGAGCCCAGCTCTGGAATGCAGACATCATGGCAGTGTGAAATATGTCAAAAGGAAAGCCTCTTTGCACTTTTGGTTTAGGACCCGCGGTTTAACAGGGTAAGACTTAACATGGATCCTCAATCTTAGCACCTTGCCCTAACCTGCTTAGGAGAGGGGAGAACCTGGCAGTTACCCCGCATCCTCCGCCATCCCTCCACCTGGAACTAATCCCAGGCTCTGGTGATTTACCTCCTCAGTAACTTGCAGAATCATCCACTTCTCAGGCTCCGTGTGACCACTCCAAGGCCAGCCCACCTTTGTCTTCCCCTCGGATCCCTAGGAAAACTTAACTTGTCTTTACTTTCACTCCAGGCCATTCTCTACTGTGCAGTTAGAATCTTTTTTTAAAAAACACTCCGATTGTTTCTGCCACTTCTTTAGAATTCTCCAACTTAAGCTTGGAAATCTTAGATGTGAGGCTGGGATGTCGGTCAGCGGTTGAGCACTTACCTCGCATGCACAGGGCCCTGGGTTTGATACCCACCTCTAATCTCCCTCAGAAAACTTGGATGCAGCCCACACGATCCTGCATAACCATTGTGTAGTTCTTGGAACTTTGCACCTCTAGCAGTTAAGGATGTTTGCACACGCTGTTCCATCTGAACTTACTTAGAGCTCCTAAGATGCAGCCATTGATGTTACATGTAGAGATTTTGAAAGATTAGGTTTGTTAATATGTAAGACAATAATGGTTGATTCTTGGCGTGGAATTTTCCTTTTTTACCTTTCCTTCCCACAAACAAACCAGTGCTTCTCTCAGAAGTGTTAGTCTTCTTATCTATAAAATGGGAAGCTATCTCCCAGGGGAGTTGGAAGATGTATGTATACGAAAGGATGTACCTACAAGAAGGCAGTAAATGATTATTTTTTCCTCAAGTGGCTCTTGTCACGTTCCTGCATGAGCGTCTTCACCATGCTCCCAAGCCACCTTCCTGAGTGGTGGTGCTGGGCGCAACAACTCCGGCCTGTTCTAGTCCTATGGCATGATCGTTTGTGATCCTCATTACCCAGCATGTAAAGCCAAAGTTGACCCCAGTTTCTGTCATGTGTCCACAGATGACCGGGCTAAAAAAACTCAGAATGATCTGGCAAGAAGGGGTGGGTTATGAGTTAGAATGTTAGGGTCACACGCCTGTCCTAGCTGAACCTGAAACAGCTTGCCCTTGAGCCCCAGTTCCCTCTGCCTGCTCCCTTGTACTCCTCTTTGATGGCTATTTCCTTCTACCCATGAAACTCTGAAACCTAACGCAATGCCTTCCTCCTCCACCATCACTCCACTCTCCCACTTTTCCATCTAACCTGTCCCTTAGGCCTGTCCAGCTCTGTCCATACCTGCTGCCTACGTGCAGAGCTCAGCTCTCAGGGAATATATGATTTGATTAGACATTGCTGTGATTTCATGTATTGGAATCTTCATCCCTAAAGCTTTCTATTAGAAGTATTTGGGAGGTAATAAGGATTAGATGAGATCATGAGGATGGGATTCTCGAGACGGCCTTAGTGGCCTTTATAGGAAAAGGAAGAGACCCATGTTACCATGCTTCTGTACCATGTCGTGATACAGCAAGAAGGCCCTCGCCAGGTGCCAGTGCCATGTTCATGGACTTCCCAGCCACTAGAACTATAAGCCAAATAAACTTCTATTCTTATAAGTTTCTTTATCTCGGGTATTTTGTTATAGCAACAAAATGGAGTAAGATATAGAAGATGCATGCAGATCAGATGTACAGGTACAGGTATAACCAGGCCTCGATACAGAGGGGGAAAGCAATAATAGGCTTGGAGGTGAGAGGACCTGATTTTAAATTCCAGCCCTGCCATTTGTTAGTTGTGTGTCTCCTGAGCCTGTTTCTTCACCTGTTAAATAGAAATGATGGGGCTTCACCTTTCTCTTCAGACAGACAGAAGCACACACACGCGCACACACATCAACCCCATCACTGCTCTTCTGTGCTGTGACCCTACTTGTTTACCCATTTCAGCTCACTAGGCTGGGAATTTCCTGATGGCAGGTACCGTATCTCCACCCTCTGCCTTGCAGTGTACTTTCTGACACGTGCATCAGTCAAGGTAAATGAGCCATTGAGATCAAAGGCGCAGGTCCACATGGCAGGGCCCCTTGCAGGCTACAAAAGAGGGACACATGAGCCACGAGAAGGAACTTGATGGGACCCCCCACATCTGGCAATGTACTGGATGCACAGAGCCTATGGCAAGCGAAATAGCAACTAACTGATGGCAACAAGAAAGAGCCAGAACTGCCAAAGGCTGAGTAGCTGAACCACGAACATCAAGACCAGTCATCCCTTGTCCCCTGGAACTACTTCTAGGACCCCCCCGCCTACCTCCAGTGATACCAAAATCTGCTCATGCTAAAGTCCCTTACGTAAAATGGCATAGTATTGCCTGTAAACTGTGCACGCCCTGTATACTTTAATCTCTAGATTATAGTACTTAATGCAGTGAAAATGCCATATAACTAGTTGTTATACTGTATCATTTTAAGGAATTTTAATATTTAAGAATATTCTGTACATTTTCAGTACAGACAAAACTTTTGTTTTTCTTTTAGGTAAATAGAGTGGAAAACCAGGACCAGACCAGACCCATAACAAGCCTTTATCATGGGGAGGAGCTGCCGGGCTGTCTCCCAACAAAGGAGGGAAAAGCAACATGGCAGAACAGGGAGCTTCTTTTATAGGAGCGGGGTGGGGTTAGCCTGAGCTGGGGTGGAGTTGAGCGAGGTAGAATTAAGAGATTGGAGGAGCCTGTGACATCACTGGAGGGGTTTGTGACATCAATAGCCGCTAGGAGGTAGCAAGTATCAGGTTGCTCTTTTGGCGGGAGAAGAGGCATGATGGGAAGAAGCAGCCTGTCCTTTGTGGGGAGAAGCCATATTTTAACATGGAGGCTGCTATTCCATGTGGCGGCCATCTTAAGGGAAATCTAACGTTGTCAAGTGCTTTTGATCTGAAGCTGGGCATGGTTGCACACTCCTATCAGAACTCTAGGAGGCTGAGGCAGGAAGGTTGCAAGTTCAAACCCTGTTTGGGCAACCTAATGACTTACCCTTGTCTAGAAAAAGAAAAAAAAAGCTGGAAATGTAGCTCAATATGAAGACTCTGGGTTCAATCTCCAGCAACACATAAAAAATGTTTTTGAACCTAAGATTGGATAGATCCAAGGATATGGAGCCCATGGATACAACTGCTGACTGTGATGACGGACAGGTGCAGAAGCCTGTGTCGCGTTTTGTAGGAAGAGACCCATCAAAATAAGTGAGATGCGGGCTGAAGAGTTTAGCTCAGTGGCAGAGTCCTTGTGCAGCATGCAAAAGCCTTCAAAACCAAAAAAGACTGCTAGGATGCATGAGGTTCTGGGCTCAACCCCTGCGTGGAAGGTAGAGGTGGGGTGGGGGTTCAGATGGACTCTGATCTTAAAAGGAAGGAGTACGTGATACGTGCCTAAAATGCTAAGCAAATCTGGGAGGCTTTGCTGAGATGCATAGGAAATGGAGAAAAGCCAATTGACAGGCTTTTCAGTTACCTACATGAAATAATAACGATCACTCCATTTTTGGAGTGTTTCCTGAGTTCTTGGCAGTGTGTGATATTTTACTCGCTTTTTCATCACAGAATCCTATCAACCCAGGAAAAGTAAAAGGCCTCGGGATGTGGGGCTAAGCCCACACAACTAACCAATAGCTGGGCTGGGAATCAGGTTTACCGGATCCCAGAATCTAGTCCCTGCTTACTGTGCTGCCCCTTCCATCTCTTGGTGAGGCTGGGTCAATGCAGCACCACCTACTGCTTTGCTGGGAGGCCCTCCGCCAGTCCTCTTAGCTAATTAACTGTATTACGTGTGTGGAGCCCTGCAGGGATACAGGTACCACGTAATGTGGATGTGGCCCGCAGATTCTCCAGCAGGGAGCAGTGGTCCCTCTCCTCCCCCAGGCTTCTATCTGGAAAGCTTTCTCTGGTTCTGCCCTTTGACCTGCAGCTGCTGACTTCAGCCTAAGCGTATTTCAGGCAGTTCCTGGCCTTCAGGCCATGGCCACACACTTGCCCTAAACTAACCTGGAATGCTCTGGTTGTAACACTTACTTGTAACAGAAAAAGTGCCAAAAACTTGGTGCTACAGTGTTCAGATTTGACCTCCATCTATTTCTGGCTGCAGCAAGATCATCTCTTTCTTCAGTGAATCAGCACACAGTCCTTCTAAGAAGAGAATTTCTTCCCACATGGGAGCAAGGGGACGGGGGAGTCACTTTGTCCTGGAATTTTCATCTGAACTCATCTGGCAGTGAGTGTTGGAGAAATCTTGGGGACCACAAGATTACTGGCATCTCCTCTGCTCACCCAATGGGAAAGCTGACTGCAGCGTGAATTCCAGGTCCTTTTGGTCCCTCAGACAGCTCAGAACAGTCACCACCGGAACCGAGTCTCTTACCTCTTCGCTGTGCTCCTTGAATTGTACCTGATTGCATTTCCAAGCTCAACATTTCCCCTATGCCTTTGATGTTTGTCCAATCCTAGTTATACCGGACAACAGGATCTTTTGCCCCAAAGATAACAGAAAGAGTAGAAAGCCTAGGCTATACATTACAAGTAGACATACTTCTACGCAGGAACAGCTTTTGGGGGGACACTCAGCTGAATTGGGACTTCAGCTAAGGAAGTCAGCAGTTAATCAAGAGAGAGCAAGCTACTCTCAGAATAGACAGCAGCAGGTGGTTTTTTTTTTCCTAGTTTTTTTTGTTTTTAGGGTGAGGAGGAGGAGGAGGAAATACAGGGTGTCGGGCTGAGATCAGGTGACGTTTTCTATTTCCTCCAGCCAGAAGGACTGTCACTCTATGGCAGGCTCGCCTGCAGGGGACATCCTGCGCTTGTAACAGCATCCAGGACTGTTGTATTCAATTGGATAATTGTGCACCGGTCTCACGTGAGCAGGTCTGGCTGTGTTTCTAAGGGGAACAGGCAGAGATGGCCGCGTGGTTCCGCTGACCAGGCTCATCCACTGGCTGCCGGTGGAAGCGGGGAGGACAGAGGACTCATCACAGGGACAGTGACCAGACACTTGGGGTGGGGAGGAGGCGGGCAATGAGCGACTTGGGCAACCTGGAGACTCCGAGTGAGCCGCCCTTCAAGAAGGGATGGAGGAGTAAAGGCTGATGGGATGGAGAAAAGACGATGAGCCAGCAGGTATGAGGGAGTAGGCGAGAGAGAGAGGAGCCAAGTGCTACAGATGGAGCAGGAAAGCATCTCTGGTAACACTGCCCAGTTAGGTACCCCTGGGACTGCACGGCACTGTGGGCCGGGGGCTCGGGGTGACCCCCTTTCCTTGCAGACGCAGAGAGGAAAAGCTTCGGAGTCCTAAGGTACTTCCTTCCTCAGGTTCCACAGTAGACACAACTCAGAGCCCGAGCAGCTGTCACACCATTGGTGACAAAGAGCAGCAGTTTCTTTGTTTTTTGTTTTGGTGCTGGGGGCTCAAACTCAGGACCTTACGTTTGCAAAGCAGGCAGCGGAGCCACTGAGCTAAATCCTTGGCTCACTTCTGTTATTTGCAAGAGGTTGGGACAAAAAAAATCACACTTCAAGCAAAAATAAGTTGGTAAACAACTTTCGATAAGTATAGCAAAAAATTACAAGAATTTCAGAAATTTTATGATTAAGAAGTGTTCTAGCTACAATAACAAAGCATCTATACCTTCTTAAAAATATTTACTAAATTAAAAAGCGTATTCTACATGTTCTGCAAAGACGAAGGCAACATTTTACTAAAAATATTGAATAGCCCACTCCTAGGCTTTCCTCAGGCTCTCCCCATTAAGCTGCGCCTCGGAGTGCAAGCATTCTATTAACTGTAAGGCTTTTTTAGGTCTGAGACATTAAAGATGAAGACACGAAGACGTGGGCTTCTGCAACAATGTAGATTGTTTAAATGGAGGTTTCCCAGAACAGCACAAAATAAAAAAAAAAAACTTGTACAAAGACATTAAATAATCACCGTAAGACTTGATAATAATCAAAAACAACAAATTTTTTTTTTTTTTTTGGTACCGGGGATGGAGCTTGGTTCCTTGCGCTTGCAAGGCAGGCGTCAGAACCGCTGATCTAAATCCCCAGCCCGGAACCATCAATGTTTATGCAAACCTGATGCAGACTGGTACGAGTGTGAGATGTAAACAGAAAGTGAGCAGGTAAATAGCCACGCAGACCCTACCGTGTTTGAAACGACTGAAAGAATAACCCACGGTCCTAGAGTGTTCTCAGTTCCCTGAATTTTGGCTCTGTGTGGTATTAAAAATAGAGTTTTGTACTGGGCCTTTCGGCACCTGCTCTTCCTAAATTTCTTACGTATCACTAAGATTCTGGCATGTGAATAGCCTTAGAGACGTAACTCAATGCGGCAGGATGTCCGGGACATGAATTGGGTCAATTGATACAAATAATAAGCGCAATTTAAACGCTGAGCGGTAAGAGTCTTGTGGTGATTGTCCAAATACGTTGATCACATCACGAACCCAGAGGTTGCGATTCTGTTGCGCTTGTGTGTAGCCGGTGTGACTGCTTTGCAACGCTTCTGCAGAAGTTCTTCAGATACATTCACGGAGCCGACACACGGGCTCAGCTGTAGGACGATCAGGTCTCGCTGCACGTCCCAGGTGGTCGCATCAGGCACCCCCAGTTTTATCGCAAGCAACAGTTGTTCCTCTGACTGCTGGAGTCCTTGAAGTGCAGTTAGGACGATACTTCTCCAGATATAAGAGCTGCTTTTGTCTCATGAACTGTACTGCATCTTTGTTTTTCATTCCTCCTTCAGTTAATGCGAGGGCACCAAGCACTGGAGCTCTCCCATGGCCTGCAACACAGTGGACAGCAGCACAACAACCACGTACTTCATGGAACTCGAATTTTTTTTGGACCAGGGATCGATCTCAGGACCTTGCGCTTGTGAGGCAGGCGGCAGAACCGCTGAGCTAAATCCCCAGCCCCACGAAACTTAATTTTTACAAGATTTAACCAGTCATCAACAATCTGGTTGGGCGATGGTGCGCCATCGTCTGAAGGCCAGTCGAAACCATGGATGCTTTCCTTCTGCACAGCAGTCTCACGCATTGCTTCACGTACTCTCACTGTTGTGGTAACTCCGTACTTCTCAAGTTCCTCCGTAAACTCGTTTAAACTTCCATTGGTTCATTGTGAGCCATGAGGAATCTCACGCTCTTGTATGTGATTTCCACAGGAGCTGGGCAGTTCATTCGAGCCGTGTTAATTTAGTTTAAAAAACAAGAGCATTATAAAAGATTTTAAAACTTAAATGATGCTAGAGACTGAAGTCTACTTCAGTATACTCCACTTGAACTTCTTTCTCAGTGCTTTGAGTATGGCGTTGGGAGTACCGGGAAATGAAATAAAACCTCCCAGCAACAAGCAGCAATCCTTCGATCCGGTAATACTGAGGTGAGAGAGAGGAAGTGCACTAAGGTTTACCCCGCCCAGGTCAGAGCTCTTGTAAAATGCTCTACGATTTCAATTCACCACTTCTGTGTCCAGGTGAGCCTCTCTCACGGGGCCTTCCTGGTGGAGCCGGATGGGTCTCTACCGTCCACACGTCTGCATAGTGGTCTTGCTGTGCCTGGCAGTAATCTCTGCTGCCCTTCAGAAACTCCATGCGTGTGTGACTGGGAACAGCACAGAACCGAGGAATATGTCTACTCACGGAAGACTGTGGTCTAATCAGACAGCTGGTCCCGAGGCTGCGGCGACGGGGGCACCAGGTGACCATGCACCAAGCGGGCGAGAGCCAGCAGCAGGTTTTTATTAATTTCTTGAGGTGGACTGAAGTCTAGTAATCCCAAGTAGCCAAGGGCGTGATTTCGAAAGATGTTTTTGCTTGGGACAGACTTGGACTGCTTGGTGGTATAGTCAACTTTTTCTAAAGGCTGTTGAATTTCCATGTATCTAGAGCCATCATCCTGTGCAAAACATCCAGCCTTATGGTTCTGGGCCCTCTAATGGGGCCAAAGGAATTCAGATGCTTGGTATGTTGTGGCTTCTGAAGAAGCCCAAGATGAGGGCAGGAACAAAGGAGAGAAAGAAAAAACATACCAGCTTCAGTGCTCAGTAGACCAAATTAACCATGCATCATAGCCTCAGACAGAACATTTAAAAAATGAACGATGTGTCTATGTATAGGGCTCAGTAGAATTTAACTCATGGATTAAGCAGAAAAGGAGACCCATACAATAAGACAGAGAGGCCAAGCCTTTTATCCCATTTTAGTTACCCATAAGGTATCTGCAAGCCCAAGAGTCAGTAGTATTCTCAGTAAAAGTGGCCGTAAGGACCCTCAGAAGTAATCTAGACAACTGTTATCATTGCCCCTATGTCATAGGTGTTATCTACAGCAAGGCTATTGGGAAACTGATGGATTGCCCAGCTATACATTTCAAAAATTAGTGATTTTTAAGTTGGCTAAGAGCAAGTAAAGCTAGGGGTTTTATTTAGTTTTGTTTTTTTTTTCTTGGTAATGATTTCCCATTTCGTGCAAACATTCTGCTCCTGTATCTTTTTCAGGGTCTCATGGCAATCTGTTGAAACAAAGAGTAATCATTTATTGTGAACTAGGATTTATTTTGTTATCCCAACTTTCTGTCCCACCACTGTCCTATGATGGTTGTCCCTAACTGTCTCATGAATAACTCATGTTCTGGGCCCTTCTCCTTGTAGTCTGAGAGCATGATCAGGTACTTTCCTAGAAAAGTAGGAGGGAATGTGGCAAAGTAGCTGCTTTTCAAGGGAAAATGTCCTGCCTCCCCACAAACTGTGCGTCTCAGAGCCTAAGTACAGACAAGATTAAGAGGGTGGCTAGGGGCTCTGCCTAAGGCGAACTGGAGAGATTTCTGTCCCAGTGCTGTCTCAGTATATGCAGACCCAGCCAGGTGCAAAGGTACATGCTGATAGGTCCACCTCCTGGGGAGGCTGGAGGATCCCTTGAGCCCAACAGCTTAGAGCCAACTTGGCCACCTAGTAAGACTCTATCTCTTCAAAACAAAACAAAGCAAAACAGCCTGACTCGCTTTGCAGGCCCCTGTATACAGCGCTGGAGGAGAACCAAAAGCTAGCCCCAAATTCTCAATTAGGGGACGTTTTGGTAATGAGTGTCTGGAGCCACTTTTCTGTGACACAACTTTAGGGGATGTTAACCCCCTCCTGTGCACACACAGGACAGCCTCTATGACAAAGAATTATTCAGCCTCAAAGGTGAAATGTCCGGCCGAGACACCAAAAACTAGACTCTGAGCCGACAAAACATTCAGACTGGGGGGCTTTCCTCCTGTCTCTTTGGAAGAGGAGAAGCTCACCATTTGCCCCGGATGTGAAGATACAGATTCCTTCTTGATGGCAGCTCCACTTCTAGTCTCCTATAGCAATTATTCTTGCTAGATTCCAGGGCCAGAGCAACCTAGAGCCACAAAGCAAATTGTGGACAGAACCAGGTCTAGAATTCTGGTGGCATTTTGTGCTCACACACTGTAATTGTGATGTGTCTCTCTTCTGCTTTCCTTGCTCTCATAGCTTGCCTCTCCAGGGCTCCTTGGGGGCAAAGAGTGCATCTTTGCTCATCCTTGGACCTTCCACAGAAAGTGCCTTCACAAATGAGGTGCTCCTTTGAAGCTGATTGGCTGAATTCATTCATTCAGCCGACATTTATGCAAAGCTGAACCAGTAGGGTTCCTGATGTCCTAGTGAAGAAAAGCAGACCCACAAACGGACAGTTATGGTGCTGAAGGAGAAGTCTGTACTGTTGGCATGTGAATTGCTACAGAAACAGAGGAGGGGGTCTTAATTCTGTGCAGGAGATCTGGAGAAGCCTGGAGAAAAGGGCATTTAAATTGGGATTTGACAGTTTCATGAGTTCTAGCCGGTCAGGGGACTCCAAAGAATCAGAGGCCAGAGGGGTAGAGGACTTTGGTACCAGATTAGTCAAGAGGAAGTGCCTGAAAACAAAAATGGGGGGGGGGGGAGAAGGAGGCACAGAAGG